TCGGACTAGTGAAATGAAACTTAAGCACTCTCTGAATTCAAATTTGTATTTTAATGTTATGTAACACTTAAATGTTATATCTGGATTTAAAAAAATATGTCTGGATTTAAAAAAAATGGATATAACTTAAATCGGTAACTCTGCTGTATAGCTGTATCCATAGATTGTCAATTTCAGTCGAATAAATTTTAATATTACGCTTGTTATAAGTTGTTAGTTCCATGCCATTGAGTTTCGTTTAAAACATTTCTATAAATCCGATATAGCGTGCGATTACACTGTTTATTAAAATTTAATTTAATTGTGATTATCGATCGGAACATCGTCGTATTCAGCAATTTGAAATTACCAGTTAGTTGATAGTATTTTACGATATGACGATATTTCCATTAGTTCGGCTTGAAATATATTTGTTAAATGGAAACGCGAAAGCATTTGAATAATGTTACGAAACGCAGTGTACATTTGCCTATTACTTAGATATAAAAAATATACAGGGTGGTCCGAACTGTATTCCGGAAACTTCGGCAGCATATTCTGCAGATAAAAATTAGTAAAATAGTTCATATAAATGTATGCCCTAAAATGCTTAGTTTCGGAGGTACAGGGTGTAGAAGTTTCATTTTTATTTCGATTTCTTCCAAATAATTTCTGAATTAACGTCAATATTTGAATGCTGAAAATTGGTGTCTAGGAGTTTTTTGACATGAGAAATTTGATTTCGATGTCAATATGGCTCCTACTAGTAGAGGGCGCCACCTACGTATTTTTAACTGGTTTGAAGAGTAATAACTTTTCGTCCGTACCTGTATAAAAGCTAGCTATATCCATTACCTGTATAAAAGCTAGCTAGTTAAAAAATATACATTTACGACGTTTTTTACGTAAAAAAGATTTCTTGGTAAAAATCGCTACGAGTAATGGTTTTCCAGATATTTGGAATCGAAATTACCAATACCTGTCATCATTGACATAAATTATACGTGTTGACTAATAATTATATTATAGTTCTTCTTCTTCTTCTTCCTTCTTCGTACTAGGCGAATCGCCTGTTTGGTTTCGTCGTCTCTACCGGTTAGACTGACAAGTTGTCGCTCCATCGTTTTCGTGGACGTCCTAAGCTTCTGCGACCTAGGTGATTTGTCGCGTGCAACTCTCACTATCCTTCTGTTGTCCATTCTGCTGATATGCTCGTTCCATTCTTCCTTTCTGCTGAGTACCCACTCATTTACATTTTCCACCTTGCACGCTCTTCTTACGCTTTCGTTTCTCTCCCTGCCAGAAGCGTCTTTCCAGCTATTCTGAGTAGTACTCTCATTTCGGTTGTTTCTAGTAGTTGTTTAGTTTTCGCTGTATTAGGTTGAGTTTCTGCAGTGTATGTCATTATTGGTCGTACCGTTGCCTTGTAAATTCTCGCTTTAGTCTCCACCTCAATGTTTTTATTTCGCCATATTGTAACATTCAGGCATCCTGCTATTCTGGTTGCCTTCGTTGTCCGTTCTCGCACCTCCGCTTCTACATCACCATATCCTGAGATTTCTATGCCTAGATACTTAAACTTCATCTCTTGCTGAATAACATTGCCCTCGACTTCCAGTTTGCATCTTAGTGGTACTTTTGATGTCGTCATGCATTTAGTTTTCTGGATCGATATTATCGTATTAAGTGATTTGGCAGTGCAATTAAATCGATGTAATAAGCGCTGTAGATCGTTCTCATTTTCAGCTACCAATACGGCGTCATCGGCATAGCATAGAATAGTAATTTCCTGGTCGCCGATATTGTATCCCTTCAGTAAACGTACATTTCCTATTATTTCGTCCATAATGATGTTGAATAGAAGAGGGCTCAGGGAGTCGCCTTGTCGGATACCACAGCCTACATTTATTGGTTCGGTCAGGACACCGTTAATTTTAGCTTGAATTTGGTTCGCTTCATATATGTTTTGTATGGTTTTAACGAGGTTGTGTGGGATTTGCCTATTGTAAAGAAGGTGTACAACGTCTCTTAGCTGCACACGGTCGAACGCTTTTTCTAAATCAATAAAACACATATACGCTGGTTTGTTATGTTCGATTGATTTTTCTGTTATCTGTCTTATGACAAAAACCGCGTCTGTGCATGATCTGCTAGATCTGAAACCTTGCTGTTCATCTGCTAAGCATGTTAAGTCGTTAATTTTGGTTGTTATCACTTTTGTCGTAAGTTTTAGTGTGGTGGTTAGAAGATTTATGACTCTATAGTTTGAGGGCAGTTTCTTATCTCCTCTTTTAAACATCAAGATAGTGGTGCTGGTTCGCCATTCATCGGGTATCCTGCGTTGGTAAAGATTTTTTTGAATCAGGGATGTTAGCTGCTGTATGAGACTTTGGCCGCCATATTTAAGTAATTCGTTTGGGATATCATCTTGCCCTGGGCTCTTCCTATTCATTAGCTTTCGAAGGGATGTAATTATATCGGCTGCCTCAATCTGTACGTTGTCGTTGGTCATTATTTCGGGTGTATTTAGTTCATCCTCTATTTCTTCTGATTTGTATAGTTCTGACAAGTAATCAATCCAGTTATTAGATATTATAGTTATTAGACTAAAATCATAAATTTGAAAGGTTTGGTTTGGTTAGTTGTGCCAAAAGTTCAACAGAAACTGTTTTATGATCATTTTTTAGAAGGAAAATTTATGATTAGTTTGGAAAAATACAAATTTAATGACATGTATTGACTATTTCCATTGTAAATATCTTGAGAACGGTTGCTCGTAGCGATGTTTACCAAAAGACATTTTATACGTAGAAAATCACGGAAATGTATATTTTTCATCTGTAGTTTTATACAGGTACAGACAAAAAGTTATTATCTATCGTCGGTCGTCCGGCTGATAATGAATGAGCTGTGGTTATGCTCCCATTATGCTGGTAATATGGGAATCATTTGTCTAAAATATTTCCAAAATTTGCTGTATTCCTGGTTATACCGGTAAATATGTCAATTTGTATCACTTAAATACTATAAATTTTAACTACGCTTTTCAAGCATACCACAACTGATTAGCAATGCTTATTTATATTTCAAAGTATCCCCAATTGTGTAGAATAAAATTATTTCGTTAATTAAAAAAGAGAAAAGAAAGGAGATTTTAATCAGGCGGAGAGATTTGTGTAAATTTTATTCATTACACTTCCATTTCGTTAGCAGTCAGAAGCAAGAGGTAAATCCTTTATCGGGATTTATTTTGTTACTTTCACCCTCCAAACTTTAAATCACGTGTTTTAGCCGCACGACTGCCCAACGGTCAGTGGCTGAGTTGAAAAAGAGCAAAAAAGAAAAAAAAGGAGCAAAATAACGCGATCTCCTGACTCTAACAAGTAAAAAACTTCTTTTTTGTATTTATCGCTGAATTTTGGGCGGGATATGCATGCAAAGTTTCTCTTAACCAGAAAGTAATAAAGTGTTTTGTAGAAATAAGTTTATCTGTCTAAAAAAAGCATGTAAATGGTTTTGGAATCACATTTTTACCACTCTACAGGGTGGCGCCTCTTATACGACGCGGAGGCTCCAAAGAGAACAATAGTTTGTATTGAAATGAAATTTTGTAAGCAAATTTAAGTTAATTTAGAGCACTTTTTAAATATATAGAGAGTTCTATAGGGTATCCCCAAAAAAACTTATACAGGGTGAGACAAAATTAATATTGAACATTGGTCGCCTTTAAAAGCATGTTACTCTCTTATTTTAAATGGAACACCCAGCATATTATTCCGATATTTAATGGAGAATTTATGTCTTTTCAAAATACTATTAAGGTTACCTACCCCTCAAACAAAGATTTTCCTACATATTTTCATTTACATGATTTGATCTGAGTAGATCTTTATTATTTGATTAGGGTGGCTGTGATATGTCTGACGTTACTTCAACATAACTGTCTAATCAGTCCAACTCTAATAACTAGTTATTATTTTGTGTCAGTTAAAACAAAAAAATTCTCAGAGATTGCCGAAAATGCAAACTTATCCTACATCAGAAAGAATTGACATAATTCTATTAGTTGGTACACTGTATTTACCAATTAGTAGAATACTTAAATGCTCCTGATTTTATCTAGTCTGGGATTTTCTATGAGGATATGTTAAAGACAGTGTTTACAAAACTCGACCAACTAGTGTCGACAACATGAGAAAAATTATTGTAGCTGCTTTTTGAGGTAGAACTCCACATATGCCTTTTAAACTTGTAACGTTTTCTTGACACAATGCAAACGGCAGCTTTTCGTCTTTGCGAGCAGTCGTAGGTTGGTTTTTTATTTTTTTATTAGGTGTTATAATTAATTAATAAAACAATAATTATTGGGCGCCAGGACATTCACTCAGAAATAATAGATCTCTTTACCTCAACTTAAATTTATTTATAATAAAAAAAATATTAGACAAGGACAGTAATTGATGGATGAAGTTAGGTTTTTAAAATGAATTAATATTTAAGAATAATAAGTAATCAAAATTTAAATGTATGATAAAAAAATAGTATCACTTGTTTTGTTGATCAAAAATCATTGACATATTAATATTGAATTACGCAAAATAAAGTTAAATAAGTACCTCAAACTAACGCAGTTCATGAACCTTGTTGTATGCGCACATAATTCCGTAAATCAATCAAAATTTAATTAAATAAATATGTCACAAGTGACACCATCACAAAATACTTGACAAGATATTAAAATATATAAAAATTTGTATATTTAAAATTAAGAACATTCTATTTTAATAATGAAATTCAAAAATGATATCTAATAATTACATAATTAATTACGTAATTCGTCAACAGTAAGTAAATAGATTTGAAATGAGTTAATAAAAAAATATGAAATCTGGCCTGATTATCCGGTGCAATTCCAGGCTTGTGGACGCTAGGTGTGGGAGCTCATCCCCAATCTACCACAGCCTCGAACAGCCCCTTACAATACCACCAGCCATGTGGAAATCAAACAAGGATCGTAGATACAGGCTCTCGTACCTCAAACCACCAATCACGACATATAACTCGCCATGTAACTGGACGGTAAAACCCTGGAAACGACACAACTTATGCACAAAATGCATTTTAGCAATTTTAGAATTTACCTCACGATGCTGAGGGTTTACTCAAAAATTAAACTCATGACAGGACAACCAAAACCACGTTTAGAAAATCTGTAAAGAGATAAGGTTGAACCAAAAGAGTAAAAATATGATGAAGATCAAACTTACCACAAAAATACCCATGAAAACTTAAAATTGATTCCTTCCCCAAATGCCAGGAACCATTAGGACTACATTCCAAAGGTTAATATGGTAAAAAGGTTGAAACTTTTTCGGACGACTTCAGATAAGTATGTTGATGTTTAAGCCACGAAATCTGAATCAAAAATGGTGACTTCTGATAGTCAAAAAGTTGCTCTAGTTCTGCGCCGACAAGAGCAAGTACGATCAACAGAGTGTCCGAAATTAGTCAGAACTAATTCGGTAGGGTGTATGTTGGATTGCCAATAGTATCGTTTTATTAAAACGTTACAAACTAAAAAGATCCTTTTGAAAAGACAATCATTTATGTAGTTAACAGGAAAGGAAGCATTTTGAGCATTTGATTTCATCTAGCTAATTTTTGTCGCATAATTATAGGTTTATATCTAGCTTTAATTCTGTAATAATTAAAATATGTGTTAAACGTGTATCTTTTTATTACCCTTGAGTATGTTACTCTACAATCTTTAATTTTTGTTAAATTAACAAAAGGTATATCACACAGCCACCTAGATTTTTTCAAATAATAAAGATTTACTGACACAAAATCATAAAAATTAAAATATCTGGGAAAATCTTTGTCTGAGGGGTAGGCAACCTTAATAATCTTTTGAAGATATATAAATTCCCCATTGAACACCGGAAAAATATACTGGATGTTCCTTTTAAAATAAAGGAGTACTTACTTTTAAAAGTGAATAATGTTCCATATTAATTTTGTCTCACCCTGTATAACTTTTCGGGTCAAATTTCAATTTGGTTTAACATACAATGGTTACTGTAATTAAATATCAGGCTATACAAGGTCAACTAAAATTGAGGTAGCTGTTATTGAAATTTAAAATAATTTACTCTTCATTTTCACAAAATGTGAAACATGTCAAAATCCTTAGATATATAGAGTAACATAATCCTATATATTAGAGTAACTTTTTGTCGGGACACCCTGTATAATTCTATATATTTTTATAAAATGCTTTCAGTTAACCTCATATGCTGCCAACATTTCATTTCGATAAAAACTACCGTTCTCATTCTAGCTTCCGCAGCGTATGAGAGGCCACCCTGTATATCAAGGAACATACGTTCTAAACACAATAATAGCAAATACCACTGGAATAGTTTACTATATTTCATTTATAAGAACGAAACTTCTAAACAAATAATCCTTAACACGGTTTGATGATTAATTTGTAATAGTTACGACGAAAACTGCGGCATCTCGTGCGGTATAACCCGTATATGTCTCTGTATTTCAGTAACATCTGCCGGGATCGCACGCTCTTTTCAGTTGTTTATCTGAGCTTCTCTCGCCTGTCAAAAATAATCCCTTTCTACTAAGCGATTAACAACTCAAAAGTTGTCAACACGACATCCGCAAGACTTTTGAAACGCTCGAGTTGTCGATATAACTTTACAAACTAAACCGGGACATTTTTGTCCGTTTTTCTGGCTTTAGTTTAACCGTGTAGGTTTTCGTTATGACATGTTTCTGTTTTTGTTTTGTATTTTTATGTTTCGTATATTATGTTTTGATGCTTTAATTTACAAGATTTGGATGGTATGTATTTGTAGTTGTTAAGTAGTCTTTGTTATACAGGGTGTTACAATATTCCGTGGACATATAGAACGACTTATTTTTATATTCAAAATAGGTTTATATTTATATACAGGGTGTTTCAAAACAAATGCGAAAAACTTCAGGGGGTGATTCCTTGTTCAAAATAAAGGGTAGTTTGCTTCATAAACGTTGGGTCAAAAGTCAACCATTAGGGAGATATCGCGGTACAAAGATGGCGGAAAAATAATGTTCTTATTTTTTATCTTGAAAACGAAAAGAGATAGATTAATGAAATTTTATGGAAGCATTACTGTTATAAAAACACACTTTCTGGTAATTTTTCACTTTTTTAAAATGAGTGGAAGGGGTTGAAATAAACTACCCCTATCATTCTTGTTAACGAAATTTAAAGAAAAATCTTATCAAACACATGCAAAAAAATTAATTTCGATAGTTTAGTTTGTTTAGAAACTTTTTTATCTCTTGTATTTTTTTTATAAAACTCACCGATTTGAAATTAAAAAATAAAATGTGAAGCATTACATGCCAGGACTAAAAATATTTTTAGATTAAGAATCTAGTGATAATAATGATAATGATAATCTAGATAATAACGTATTGCAGTAGGGTAATGTCAAATAAAACAATATTAGAAACATCCTAAAAAGTGACCGCGGCCGACTAGATCTTTTCCTAAAAAAATTACAGCTGCCCACTAGATTCTTTATCTAAAAATGTTTTTTGTCCTGACATGTAATGCTTTACACTTTATTTTTTAATTTCAAATCGGTGAGTTTTATCAAAAAAACACAACAGATAAAAAAGTTTCCAAATAAACTAAACTATCAAAATTAATTTTTTTTGCATGTGTTTGATAAGATTTTTCTTTAAATTTCATTAACAAGAATGATAGGGGTAGTTTATTTCAACCCCTTCCACTCATTTTAAAAAGTGAAAAAATTACCAGAAAGTGTGTTTTCATAACAGTAATGCTTCCGTAAAATTTCATTAGTCTATCTCTTTTCGTTTTCAAGATAAAAAATAAAAACATTATTTTTCCGCCATCTTTGTACCGCGATATCTCCCTAATGGTTGACTTTTCACCCAACGTTTATAAAGCAAACTACCCTTTATTTTGAACAAGGAATCAACCCCTGAAGTTTTTCGCATTTGTTTTGAAACACCCTGTATATGGGAGGGGGTTAAAAATTTAAAAAAACCGTAACTCCAAAATTACAGTAGCTAGCGAAACGCGGTTTTCAATTTAAGATTAGGAATAATATTTGTAACAAAATTTGTAATAACATCAAAATCAGTCAAAGTCGCAGTTTTTGAGATAAAAAAAATTGGAAAAATTCCTTTACTTTGAAACTAAAAGAACTGCCTACCAACTTTTTATTAACATATTTTAGTATTGGCGGCTATACGTATACGTGCCTCCCGGCGCCATTTTTTTAACATATTCTGAAATATATTTCTTCTAGACTAACTTGCAAATATTTCTTAAACAATACTTCCGTGTCCTTTATGTAGGACACTTCTAGGAAGACGAGCGAAATAAATAATGTGTCTATTTCCTTTTTGGCAGCTCCACAAAGGTTACGAACGCACCACGCAGGGCGTAGCTCAAAACAGTGGTCGTGAATAATTTGGATGGTCCTTAATTTAACTTTATCGATCAGATGAAACTTTCTAGATTATAAATGATAAAAATAACTTTTTTGTAAGAAGGCCAGACGAAAATAATACTTAATTTATAATATAATACAAAATTTTTGGATTGGAAGAGTCTAAATTTTTTTTTAATTTTCCAGCATTTCCAACAAATCCAGTTGAATTTAAATCATGGCTCTAGTTCTCTCTAATATTCACGTAATTTCAATAAATAAAAGTATATGAACTATGCACACTGACATCGCCATTACTAAAATAAAATTTATTGAAATTGGAGAAGTTTTCAATTAATCGTAACTCTAGTTGCAGATTGCATAGTTGGTAGAAACTATTGCCTACTTGAAATGATACGAGGCATGTTTTTTAAGTAAGTACCGTTTTGGAATTAAAAAAAAACGTGCAAAGATATCGCAATAATTTTATTTTTACATGAAAGCCTGTACCTTAATCTACTTTTCTACATAATTTCCGTGAATATTGAGGCACTTTTCATAACGTGGCACCAGTTTTTCAATACCCTCCTCATAAAATTCTGCCGCCTGACTGGTTAACCACTGTATCACAACTGTTTTGACTTCGTTATCGTCTTGAAGAAGCTGACCGCCCAGGTGTTTCTTCAAGTGCAGGAATAAATGGTAGTCACTGGGCGCCAGATCAGGGCTGTATGGAGGATGATCTAGAGTTTCCCATTTAAAAGATTTGATGAGATCTTTGGTCCGATTAGCCACATGTGGACGGGCATTGTCATGCAGCAAAACAATACCCTTACTCAACTTGCCACGTCTTTTGTTTTGGATTGCACGGCGCAGATTGTTCAATGTCTCACAATAAGATGCTGCATTGATTGTCTCATTGCGAGGCAGAAATTCCACTAGCAATACTCCTTTTCTGTCCCAAAAAACTGTGCACATGATTTTACGGGCAGAAATTGTTTGCTTAAACTTCACTGTTTTGGGTGATTATGAATGTCGCCATTCCATGGACTGTTGTTTCGATTCTGGTGTGATGTAGGCCACCCATGTTTCGTCACCAGTAACAATTTTGTCTAAAAAATCTTCACCTTCATTGTGGTACTGCTCAAGGAAAGTCAATGCACTGCCTAATCGTTGGGTTTTGTGCAAATCCGTCAACATTTTTGGAACCCAACGTGAACACAATTTCCGGTAATTCAAGTTCTCGGTCACAATGTGATATAAAACACTACGAGAACATTGAGGAAAGTAGTCGCACAATGATGAAATTGTAAAGCGTCTGTTTTCTTTCACCTTTTCGTCCACTTTCTGCATCAAATCTTCATTAACGACCGAAGGACGCCCACTCCGTTCTTCGTCATGCACATTTGTGCGGCCATCTTTAAGTGCTCTCCCCCATTTCCTTACCATTCCATCACTCATAATGTTTTGTCCGTAAACTTCACAGATCTCACGATGAATATCCATCGGTTTTACGCCTTTAGCACTAAGAAATCGTATGACAGCCCGTACTTCACAATCGGCGGGGCTCACGATTGTCGGAGGCATCTTAAACACTCAATAAACAACGTATACAATGAAGAATCAGACTGTACTGGCGTCTGTGCATAGACAAGAGATGTAGGTAACAAGCGCGCATGCGCGGAACGCCGACCGTAGCGCTGCGGCGGCGGAATCGCAAAACGGTACTTACTTAAAAAACATGCCTCGTATATTCATTATAGAATTCTTCACACTCTTTATATATCGAATAGTTGCTTCTTGCACTCGTAAACTTGAGTCTCAAAATTCAGTTTTTAATACATCATAGTTCTGCACTATAGTGTATTGTAAAAAATA